ATAAAACATGAAAGTGGTGGTTTACTTCGGGACCAACTAGGAACACATTTCGTGTTGCCGAAGCAATCTGGAGGACCTCAAGATAAGGAAGACGCTGCCGGAGCAACAAATTATTCAAGCCTCTCAATTTCCAAAGAAAGAATCGATCCTCCAGGCGATTTAGGGATACCAGTCGGAGTACAGGACTTAGTAGCAGCACCCAAAGCGACAATGACCACAGTTTAAAACATGTAATGAGATTTATAATTAAGCTTCTTGCCAGATAAAAGCCTGGAAAACTCTCGGGTCAAAATCTGGAAGGTTCTCGTTCCATTCGTAGTTGTCAATGTAAGATGCATTTTCTGGCGTAAGCACACTGCAGGCATACCATCGAAGCGAAGCCCTAAGGGATTCACGATCCATACAACGTATGCGGACTGCATTCTGGGGCAAGGGAATGCTATCTACAAGAAATTGTTGCATTTGTATTTCTGTCCCATCCACATCACCCCATTCATCCTCCGAGAGAATACCAGAGCTGCTGTTACTGCTCAATTTGGAACCAGGAAAAACTTGTTGACTGCCAAAAACACTACCGCCGCTGGTAAGACTAGCCAACTGATCCTCCTCACCTTCTTCCCTGCGTCTCAATGTGGTGCGATTGGGCAAACTGTCAATAATATCAAACCATGCTGTGTTGGGTGATTGACGCAGCTGTAATATCGCAATCACGTGCTCGTGAAAGAAAAGCGTTGCACCAATCTTCTTCGGGCCGATCTTGGTTAACTGATCAAGCAGCGTATCTAAATGCTCTTCCGCCAGAATATTCCCTCCACAGACAGTCAGAAACTGTTCCGGACACATGTATTGCTGATCCATCAAGGATTCGTGGGCATCTGAAGGTATCAAAAATGCATCTTGTTGCAGTCCCAAATTCTTTCGCACAGCAGGCAGAATATTGGGAATCTCCTCATCAATAACTTCTACAATAATTTGATCCAGTAATTCAGGATCAGGGACAAATTCACCTCTCTTTATTTGCATTGTCTTGTCCACTTCATCATTGTGGAAATGATGGATGCACATGAGAGGCGCAATCACCGTACACCCGTTGGTGGATCCACTGATTCTGCCCTGATAAGTCGGTATGTGAGAAATGACTACTCGGCCATTGCTTCGCAGTGCATCAAAGTCTTCGTGGTAACACCTACGCAGCACATCAACTGAGACCTCGGGAGACGCTTGTCGAGGCATGACGCCAGGTGGAGGAGATATGGTAGAGCTGTCGTCACTGAAAAAGGATGCTCCCACACCACTGTCGCTGTGAAAGTACAAAGGTGGAGCATCGTCGCGACGCTCGTCGCCTCCCTTGCTACCTCCAGCTTCGTTATCAACATCCTCGTCATCCGCAGACACTACGACTCCCGCTCGTCCAGGATGACTGGCGTTGGTCATTACTTCCAATCCACTCAAATACAATGCCCGTTCCAAATCAATATCAGACTTGGTCCGTAAATGATGTTGCGACTCCGAAGTTTCGCTGCATCTGACCGATGATGACTGTACACCCACCACTTGTTGATTCCCTCTGTTGTAGAGCTTGAAAATGTCATTGTAGCTGGGTGGCAATTTGTTGTCTTCTTCCAAGTAGACAGTAGATTGGGGTTCCAATCGGGCGTGCCTTTCGTCCATGTAGGCCGAATCTTCTAACAAGTGTGCGACATTCATATCTGGCTCAATATCATCTTCTTCATCGTCCTCGTCCATAAGTGATGCCTGGTTCAACAATGGTGACTTAGGGGAAGGCGGAAAATGGCTGTTGGAGACAGGGCCCGTTAAAACCGGACTTGATGGTGGAAAGAGCGCGGAGGGTGCCGTCCGAGATCTTCCCAGAGGATCTAGATATAGAGGAGGAGGTACTGCAGAATTCCGTTGCTGTTGCTGTGATAATGACGACGGGATCGGTGGGAACATCTTTGTCTTAGACGTCGGCATTGATAGTGTCGGACAGAAAACCGATGAAATCGACTCTCCACACGCCAACAATGTCGACCCGATATCACAGTCGGAAAATGAAGAGGCGGTGCTTGTGTTATTGCTGCTAGTAGCGGTGCTTCGGAACGTACTCTTGGAAGATTTGAGTCGATTATCTTCACGTCGCTGCATTAAGTTCAGTTCGGTTTGTACTTGCAGTCGATGTGCTTCATAGGTACTTAAGCGTTCACATTGTTCGGTCGCTAAGAACTGCAACCGCTCCAACTTGGCATTCTCCTTGCTCAAAGTGTCAGGTTGTAGTGCTACCAGTTCTTGCAATTGATTCGTCACCCGCAATGCATCATGAGACGATTTCGTTCGCAATTGTGCGAACTTTTGAACATAAAAATAGCCATGCTTAGGAATTTCCAGCAAGGCCGTTTCGACAAATTTTAACCCCAGATAAAAGGCCACACTGTAGAGATGCTTTTCGTTGTGACTTTCAAAGGCCTCCAAGACCTTGTCATTCAATGCGTAAATTTTGGAAATGCACGTGGTTTGGTATTCACCGATAGATGGTCGTTTTTGATGGAGGGATACTTGAATGAGACCAGAACTATCACCTCCAACGGCACTGGGTCGATACCGAAGATCGGGCGGCTTGTATTGCTTTGCGGAAGCAGAACGGGGAAGTCCAATATCGGCCATTCTAGCGACGGGTACCATGGTGGAAAAGAAAGAGAAGAAAAGAACGGAACGGAACTTGTGGGGTTTCTGACTGTGAGTATGATTCTCGAGTCTTTTTTTCCTTCTATGGTTCTGCTGCCTCCTACTACGTTGTAGATGATAGTAAAGTTCGAAGTGCTCTCTTGATATCACTTCTGAAGCCCATCGGTCACACTTCTTTCTCCAACCGAAGAGGAATCTCGTCCATGATACAGAGCTTGATCTATTAACTGTAAATGCTCCATACTTGTGCTGCCCAGTCACACGTGTCGCTGCGACCGTTGAATTCTTGAAATTGACAAAAGTTAGAGATACAAACGAAGGAGTTTCCATCCGGGTCATCTCATCCAACGGAGAAAAATAAGTAAAATACTACATATTATATATACCGTATATTAATAATAGAACCGGAGTATAACTCAAGAGGTCCAATGCATACAATTATCACTAGTCCCACATTGGAGGATATAATCGCTGCAACCGCAGCCAATTTTGGACTTGAGTCCCTTCAAATTCAAATTGCTTGGACGCTTTGCCTACTTGATAGATGTGGATCACTGGAAATGCACCATTATTTGAATAACAGATTTTGAAAAATCACAGCTGCAATTGTTTGATGATACAATCGGATCCACCGGCAAAGATCGTTTCATGATTTGGCTGCTTACGTTGCTGAGATGGTGACGAATCCCATAACAAACAAAGTCCTTTCTCTTCCTTTCCAAAAGCACGTACAGTTGACAACGGATTGGAAGATCTAATGTCCCACACCTTCACGGTACCATCATGGCTGGTGGATGCCAACTGATATGCATTGGAGAGACTCCATTTGACATCAGAGACCCACGCCTTGTGCGATGGACGAAAGGTGTGGTCCATGATTACCGAGGACGGCTTACTGGTGTTGCTGTCGACGCGAACATCCCACAATCGAATGGTACAATCGGGATGTCCCGTGGCAACCACGCCTTCCGAATGATACGAGGTATCCAAACATGCAACTACGCGCGACCCGTTCAGAGTCAAAAGACAATTTTGTTTTTCGACGTCCCACACTTTGATGGAATGGTCCCAGCTGCCGGTAATCAATTGGGAATGGCTGGTAATGTTGTCAGTTTGATTACGATGATGATGATTTCCCCAGGAAATTCCACTAATGGTTTGGGCATGTGCCCGTTCCATACAGATTGTGGCGTTTAGTTCTCTCTTGCTGGAAGCAGCCTTTTGGCCAGAAGACGACTTCTGCTTTTTCGCTTCTGTAGCCACAGAATCCTGCTCTCCGGCGTCAAAGTTCCAAATGGATATTGTTCCGTTGGCATCTCCGCTTGCCAGAAGCAAGTGTGAAGAAGAAGATGTCGCTGTAAAGTCGAGACTGCTGACGGCCTGCATGACATCGCTCTCCGCTACTGTGCACACTCCATAGAGCTGCAATCCATTGTTGGAATCATGGGTATGTAGATTCAAGGAATGATCCAGTGAGGCCGAGGCAATCATTATTTGATCCTTGTACGTTGTAGCAGCCATGGCTTTGATGGGACCAGTGGCTGCTGTAGCAGAGCTTATTTTGATCAAGCACGACTCGTTATCATCGTTGTTGCGTTTTCGATAGATGTGAATAGTTCCGTCATAGCAACCCGAAAACACCATAGTTTCTGAGTGATTCGTAGATGCCGACGCAAAACAAGATACCCAATCTGGCACAGTCTCTCCTTCTCCAGAGAGCTCTGGAACACCAGAGGTGGGAAAGTAAGTGATTACAATGGCTTCTTCCAAACTCAGTCCATGTTGCCGGGCTTCTTTTTCGACGCCTTTCCGCAATAGTCGGTTGTTGGCGACGATAAATTCAAACGAAAGAGGTCGGTTGCTCGCCGTGGATGAGTCGTCGTCATTCCCATCATCATCATTATCATCATCTCCAGGAACTGATCGACCCAACAGGTGATTGACGACGGCCGACAGGCCTTTGCGACCGATATCGGATGGGACTGCAATTGGGGCCGACGGAACTTCCAACGAGGGATCACCGACACCAGAGGCCAATTTGAGAGACACTCGGACCTGGGGACCCTCTTCGGGTCGATCGTTGTCATCGCTATCGGACATAGTGCTGTGTTTGTGTGCTTTCGTGGAACAGTGGCTAGCGGTTCTGGTTTTTGAAAGGTGATGATGACGAAGATGTAAGGAGCCTCTAGTTCGAAAGTCCGAAAATCGATTGTTTGGCATGGAGTTTTCGTTGGCCTTGATAATTCTCCGTCTGGCCATCGAACCTCGAACTTTCTTTTTTGCTTGTCTTTATATACCAAAAACTCGCTTCATTTTGCATGACTGTACTTTTATAGAATCTCTATACATGTACTATCCAAATTTGACTAATTCAAATTTGAAATCACTATCACCTGTGATGACGAAGTGAAGCACGGTTGGATATCGCGAGAAGATCGTTGTTTTTTCTCTTGAGAGAAAACGATGTGGCGAAGAGCAGCGTTTTCTATGCTTGTTCGTAGAAGATGCCCGACCCTGCACTTTGAACAGGCCCCCTCTCTTTTGTTGTGATTCTTCTCTGTATTTCTTCATCATTTCCATCGGGCATACAAGGTGTTTCGACAAAAAACTCTTTTCAAGGTGGAATTGAGTGGGTTAGGTGTTTCGACAAAAAAGGAACGTGTATCTCTATTCAAGGTGGAATTGAGTGGGTTGAAAAGCTACGTACACGATCAAGGAGAGGAGGAAGGGCATCAGTGTGAATTGTGAATCCTAGTCGCAGTAGTTTACTCTGTTGTAACGTTGGACACTGATTTTCTGTTGTGGAAATGGCGTCATAACTTCGCGGAATGTGGATAAGCTTGATACTGGTGCTTGATATATGGAAAGTTTATTCTCGGTCAATTAGAATGGAAAGTACGTTGTATTTGTCGCATAGAATCTGCCCCATCATTTCCCAACAGGTTTAAGACACATTGGAAACATACCTATTCTCATGATTTGTGTGGGGTTTTCCTCCATTGAGCAGATTAAGCTGTTCTATGATTTGCCCTGACCCCTGTTTCAGGCAGGTGACCAAACTACTGGGATGTGAAGCAGCTGGAAGTTGGCTACTGCAATCAGGAATTCTTTCTGTTGTAGAAATCCTTTCCTCAAGCTTGTTTTAATCTTTGAAATGATTCTCTTCCTCTTCTCCTTGTTGCGCAAGCTTCCTGTGGTGCGCTGGACTCCTGTAGATTGTTTTTCCACTTGCTCTTGGTTAAACTACAGCTCTCTGAAGAAAATAAGACTTTCGAGGAAAAGACTGGTCCCAAATCAGAGCTGGAAATGATTTTACAGTTAGTTACCATGATTGATATGCACTACGGTACTAGCATATCTACAATGAGCGAACCTTTATGTAATCATTCATTAAGTGTTCAAACTCACGACAGCTGACCTTTCAGAAAGGTTATCTCATTTGCAGGCATTTGTACACCATAACTCATGAAATTCATTCTCCTCATCTGGTTGAGGCAATATCCACGACCATCACCAGCTCACTCCACCGCAGCTGGTCACCCTGCAGTAAAGGATGCAGTTTAGCAGTTCAGCCACGTTCCCTAGCTAGGTAGGGGTGTACGCCTTACTTAAGAAACCCTCTTCGACTCGACGTCGAACGACTACTGTAGTACTACTAAAGTAGTATGTACTCGGAGTACGACCTCCGTCTGGGCGAGACGAGGGAGATTGGTGATCGCGATCGAAAAAATATTTACAGATATTGCTGAAACTCCGTACAATTACATGGTGTTATACGCTCAATGGGGTACATCATCATCATGATGAATGTACGACTACCTCCGGTAGTCTAGCTAGTAGACTAAAGCTTCAAATGCGAAGAAAACAGCAGAATTTCATGAAACGGATACTAGTAGTTGATCAGATTGACTGTAAGAACCTTCTTTTAATGGGCCTCAATTTATCTTCAACATCTTGTCTCACATCAGAGCGGGAAGGAATCCAGGAAGGTTTTTTCTCATTGTGCTCTTGATTACCTCTCTGGGTGTTTTGTGCAGAGGACAAATCCTCTTGATATGGTTCAGTTTGGAAGTTCATTCGAAATCGATTGTGCTGCTTTCCATATCTCTTCTGCGGGAACCTCCAGAGTTAGAGCACTCAGCAAGCAAAGCTGATTGTCGACGGGCCATCAAGATGGTTTGGGTGTGGTATCTACGGAGCAGAGAAAGAAGTCCAGCTTCAAGCAATCAGAACCATGCTCAATGTTTCCTTCAAGGGCGAAACTAGTGAAGAACTTAACATGCTTTGCATCTGCTTCCTCGAAAGCTTTGGTAAAAGTCGTTGGGCATAGAGACAGTACCCGTTCAGGGATAACAGCCATATGTGGATCGTTGCATCAGTTGATCTTACTCTCCACCTGCTTGTAACTTTTCCTAGGATCGTCTCTGGGGAGTTCAAGGATTCTGCGTTGTATGTGTGGCTGAAGAGCAAGGTGCGAAATATTCTTTGCTCCCAACAAGCTTTCGTCTTATCGTTTTGCGCCTTCCGCTCAACTGTTTCACCATTTCACCTGCCGATGCTTTCTGTTCCTTTTTCAGCATGCTGCCCAATCTCCATAGACAATGTATCCCTCCTCTTTCTTCATTTGGTTCCTTACAGTTAGTGTTCAAACATAAAAAAGTTTCCTTTGCAGAAAACAATCGAGAGGCGGTCTCATAGCATTCGATTGTAGTTCCATGATGTGACTGCAGTTCGGGAAAAGCAGATTGTTGTGTGGCAGATCTTGAATTGCGATTGGGATAGTTCGCTTTCAGCCCTTGTGAATAAAAATTTCTAACATCCAAGTCACAAACGTAAGTAAGAAAGAGAGATCGCCTCTATTGTCTTTGGTCTTTGTACGCAACATTGGGTATTGGCATCGGTCGTGCCCCAAAACTGGCATTGGTCATCATCTTTTAATCATGTTCCAACCACATCAGCTTTGACTCTCCACCCCGACTGCTGTTGTTTTACCGCATCTCTTGTTACGTTTGTCTCTATCTTTGCAGCCTTCACGGCAAAATTATGGGCTTTGCCTTGCGACATGAATGATAGTAGATATTCCTGTTGTTGTGTGTCGTCGTTCCAATGACGCTTTGTCTTCTACTGTCATATCGTCCTAGTTCTTCATTTACCACGGGGAAACTCGGACTCTGGGTTCAAGAATGATGACGCATGGTTGTCGAACTTACAGTTAGTTACAGCAATAGACACAACAGCTACAGCGGCAATTTTCCTTGACGGTGTACGACTACGAGTTGTTCGTATCATTTTGTTGGAAGAATAGAAGAAGACATTGTGTGAAATTAAATGACATCGTGATGATGTGCTGTGTAAAAACATACGACTTTATTACTGTGTTAGTAAAAATGCAGTGATATTAAAAATGCAGTGATTTTCAAATTTCTCATCGCGCATCCCGTTCTCCCTCGTCGCGCCCAGACGGAGTTATTACAGTTAGTTGTAACTTTAACTGTAAGTTGGATTTGTACTATGACTCAGCAACCGGTACTGACTACGGTAGAACTCCGAAGGTATCAAGCAATATTCCCCAAACAGTGTTCGGCTAAGCTGCTCTGACTGTGAGTGTTCTGCATCTACCACAATCTGTGCTTGCGCGCGTCAGGTACTCCCAATTCTACCGTTGAAATTTGAAAGACATGATGATGAGGAGATGAACAGAAACGATGACAGTAGATTGTTCTCTCCCTTCCTCACAAACACCAATACACAATTTACTCTGAACTTCCGAACGAACGCTATCCTTCACGACGGTAGTGATATATTATACTCTACAAGCTCTGGTAAGCAAGAAAATTGCATCTGTTTACCGTTGGGGCTTCATTTGATTACCCTTGCGACAGAATGTTATTTCCGGAGAGGAAAACGGTCGATCCCCCGAATCTCGTATCATCTTTGAACGGTCGGCAGATTCGTTATGGCATTATCCGGTCCCTCCAGCCATTACACGAACATTACCCTTTGATTGTCCCGGAGTTGTCCAACGATTTCCCCACCCTTGCACCGCTCCCGTATTCGGAAAAGACAACCCATCTGTTTTCAACCCGCCATCAACAGCAACAACGAATTCGACGACAATTACGGCTGTGGAAGCGGCTGCATCACCCCGCCTTTCTTTGCGCCCTCAGAAGCACAAACAATGCTTATTCGCTGGCGGCCACCAGCATTCCCATGACTGCTAGTGCCGGGGGTACCTCCTTTTTCAAATATTTGCTCGTCTTTACGGCAGGAGGTCTTTTCTTTTCCACCGTGATTGCGATGATTTATGCCGTCTATGGACTGGGTATGGAAAATGTCAAGCGTATAATTGATGTTTTAAGCCTTGTCTTGAAACGAGTCTGGATCTCCTTTACTGTCGGCCTAGGAGCCGCCAAGTTAGCCTTGCTGGACAGGGACGACGACGATGAGCCGGATCCGTCAGAAGCAAGAACAACGTTGAAAATCAGCGAGGCAGGAGATGGCGCAGATCCAGATAGGACAGGTATCAAGACAGTTCGACCGCCAAACAAGTCATCCTTTCACGACCGAATGAAGGAAAAGAAAGCCACCAGAACTAGTCTGAGATGGAGAAAAGCCTGGACCACACTAAAAGAACAACTAGTCGAGACGGGACGCACGGCAACCCAAGGAGTTAGGGCGATGCGACAGGAGAGGACGCTCTATACGGCGTTGGTCGGGCAGCGAGGGCTGGTGCCAATTCAATATGCCGTCGCGAAATTAATGCCCTACAGTGTTTCGACAATTATGGAAAATGCTCTGCGAGATACGCTGAAAAGTATCAAACCTTCCAAGGCCATAAAAAAAATGACGTTGAAGAGTTTCAAAGCCGGAAAAGTTCCACCAACATTTCTAGCTGCTCGAGCCTACGATGTGGAAAATTGCATTGCTATTGACTTCGACATCGATTGGGTTTCCGAAATAGAGGCATCCTTCGATTTGTTCACAGCTGGAGGTCTTGCAAAACTTCCAGTTTCCATCAAGAGTATCGACTTTTCCGGTGTCGTCCGGGTGGTACTGACACCTCTTATACCTGATCCTCCCGGATATGGTGCTATGTTGATTTCTTTTCCGACCTCACCGCAGCTCAGTTTGGACGTGAAAGTATTGGGTGGTGAACTAACCAAGTTACCTTTCCTGAAAAAAGAAATCGCCTCATTGCTTCAAAAAAGCATCAAGGAAGAGCTTTTGTGGCCGCGACGCAACGTTGTTCCCATGCTCGATAAGGGTAGACAGATTTTGTCGAACGCCGATTTACAACGGTTACGAGAAATCGATCCTTTCCTCACTCTGGAGCAGACGCTGGTGAACTCGAACGAACCAATTGTAAAAGACATCCGCGAACGATTGTTGCCTGCCCAGAATGACTTGGAACAACCGATCATCTCATTGCTGGGAGATTTGGACGATAGCAGCAATTCTAGCAATATTACATCCGTCAGTGATACGGTCAGCAAACGCCGAAACAACTGGTTCGGACGATTCAACCGCGGT